ACCCAACATCTGGAATTTCTGCTTAGCACAAGCATGTTGCTGTTTCTGGCTTTGCCAGATAAAACTAGAAATGAGATGTAGATTTTTTTTTTTTTTAACAGTATTATTTATGACTTTAAATAGGTAGGTAGCATAATTAGGGATTGAAAATGCTTTCAGTTGATCTTTGTAGCCACAATATTTCTTTACATTATGCCTGTAATGCTATGCTCTCTTTCTATCCATGTGGTGGATAGCTGCATTCATGATCTGACCATGTTCCAGATTCTAGCAATCAGCTGCTATCTGCAAACAACTGCAAGTTGTTCACCTAAAATTTTCCTGTTTGGAAACTGGTATAACATTAATGTGTAAGTTTCTGCTTCTGTTGTGCAGTGTAGTTTCAGTCATTAGGTGATCCCTAACTGGAGTATACACCCTTATTATACATGTGACAAACAACTGTTTCAGTAAAAAATCCCTCTGAAAAACAAGAGAGTTCAAGATAATAGTGCTACAGTTCATCAGTCAATTTTTTGCAGGTTTTACGAAGCCAGACTAATATTAGAGGGGAAATTATTTAGTAAGAACAACAGTCTTGTTCACATTGTACAACGGTCATGGGAGAGTACGCTTTTAGGCCCCCCTGTGTTGCTTTTACGTTTGAAAATTGGTTCAGTAATGTGGTTTGAACACAACTGCAGTTCCTGAGCTGTTCCTGTATGCCATGCCTCTGCCTTAAGTACCCACAGAGGTTCTGCACTAGTTTTGATGCTACTCCATGAATCAATCATGGATTATTTTCTTCTGTGAGTCACCATAGCAGCCCAGCAAATACTAAAAAGGCTGGCATGAGCCTGAAGAACATTAATTACATATTTCCAAGTATACTTGGTAACACTGACCAACTAATCATTTTTAAAAAACACAGTTAAACCAAGTTCCTTGTCCCTCTGTGTCCTGCCTTCAGGTAAAGTAAGAGCTTAGTACAGGCTCTGCTGAAGTGCCTTTTTCATACTTTTTTTTTTTTTTTTTATCTGTATAATTCATTGCTAAGGGGATTGAGAAAAGGAGTGTAAAGGGGATTGGTATACCTCACTTAAAACATGCTTTGTTATTACCTTTATGACATCATCACTCTATGGGGATGAGTTACAGGGTGATGAGTACATGAGACTTCCAGGTGCAGAAACAGCAGAGCTACAGCCGTGACTACTCCAAAACAGGCTCCAAGTATGCAGTGTCCATTAAATTAAACAAGTAGCATGTCCTGGAGGCTTGCCACTGCTAAAAGTCGCTGTTAGAAATCAGCATTACATTGCTAAAGTGAAGGGCTAATGTTTTGCACTGCACCAAATTAGTGCATGAAGAGCTAGAACGAGTTCTAGGAGGATTCAGATTTGGTCCTGAAAGGGCAGTGGTTTGCTCTTGGTAACTGCTCAGTTAAATTATTCATGTATCAGGAAACAACAGTCACGTGGTAATATACTTTCCTTAGCCCACCCAAAAGATTCTTGATTTCTATTGCCCCATGACTGTCATGCTTACAGGATCTGCTATCTGTGAACAAAATATTGCAGTAAATGTGGATATTAACCAAAATACTTCACAGCTCTGATCTGCATTGTTTGTACTGAACAGACAGCATAATGCAACGCTGGCATGAAGACTGGTTATGGAATATGTTCAGACAGCCACTAATTTTTATTTACTCAAGTATGTGTTGAGGAGAAATCACTCTAGAGTCATACACATTATATGAACCACTTTTGATAATGAAACTACACTGAGGTGTTAATTTATTTTAAACTTCAGTACTATTGACATGTTGCATCCCTCTTTGTAGTACATTTGTATTTCAGTAAGGAGTTGTATTTTCCCCATGGTTAAACAACCACTGTTGTGCTTATCTTTACTTCCTGAATTATAGTTGGTCCTTTGTTCCAAGCACTTTATGCTATCTGTAATGGGATCTATTTTTGCACTGGAATATCTGTTAACTTTGCAAAAATCTAGAGAGATTTCACAACTGAAATTTCTAAGTTAAATCCTTAAATGGACATTTTCATTAAAAGCAAAAAAAAAGTATATATATTTGTATTTGCTAATATCTGTTATGTGAAGTATTAAAAGGCACTCTAATTGCCTTGTATTAAGTAAAAAATAAAGTTGTTATAGCACCATTGGTCTTCACAAGTGTAATTTTTTCATTTGCTATTTCAAGGAGCACTGCTGAAAGCTTTTAGTTTTGCCTGGTTTTATTTTGTTGTTAACTTTGATGCATGAGATTTCAGTAGCTCTAAAAACAAGTATGGAGTAGATTTACTATTTTTAGGTAAATGAGGAGATGCAAGATATAAAGGTAAGTGCTGCATTAAACTTAAAGTTAGTAAATAAAAAGGTCTCTAGCAAGTGATTGGTCAAATCCGACTGCAAAGCATAAGGAGCTTCTCCGGATGTTTAAATCCCGACTTAAGTACCAGCCTCTGAATTTTTATTAAAGATATGCAAGCTGCTCCTCCTTGCTAAAAACACCCTATGCACTTGGTTGACTTTGAACAGCAGTTTACAAATGAAAGCAGAGTAACAGTGTGACTGCTCAAGGACAGACTGATACTGAAATCTTGTCTGCTAGTGCCGACAGCATCACCATCAACCAAGTTCCGGTATCTAAACAATTCCTGAAGTTGCACTCATCAGGAAAACTCATCCTGAGATAAAAAGCAAATTAAAATTTCTCAGCATCACAGAATATACTGAGTTGGAAGAGCCCCTAAAGGATCATCAGGTCCCATTCCTGGCCCTGCACAACATCATCCCTAAGAATCACACCATATGCCTAAGAGCACTGTCCAAACATTTCTTGAACTCTGTCAGGGCTGGTGCTGTGATCACTTCCATGGACAGCCTGTTACGGCTAAACCTCCCCTGACACAACTTCAGGCCCTTCTCTGAGGTCCTGTCACTGGGTGACAGAGAGCCAAGATCACTGTCTGCCCCTCCTTTTCCCCTTAGGAGGAATTTGTAACTGCAATGGGGACTCCCTTCAATCTCCTCCAGGCTGAACAAACCCAGGTACCTCAGATGCTCCTCATTCAGCTTCCCCTCAGGGTCCTTCATCATCTTTGTTGACCCCCTCTAATGGCTTAATACATTTTTTTCACTGTAATGATGCCTTAGGATTTTAGCTTTTTAATTTTTCATATATTTGTAATACTCTAATTCTTTAATGTATAAACTCCATATAGAGTGTCATTTTCATCAGACAAAACAATACCTTTCCAGGCCTGGGAATCAAGGACCCCTGTGGCAAGCACATTTCTCTCCCTCTCAGGATTTTTCATAGAGGTGCACAGAGAGAAATGAAGGAGAAAACAATTTCTATTTCTGCTCCTTGTTTTTCCCATGTGGAGTGTGTTTGGAGAATTGTTTACCTGGGGTGATTGCTTGGTTGGATTCTGGTGAGGTTTGATTGAGCCTGATGGCCAATCCAACCCACCTGGGGCTGGGCTCTCAGAGAGGGTCACGAGTTGTGTTAGAGATAGAGTCAAAGAAAGTAGTATGTAGTTTCAATATCCTCCTTTTATATAGTATATTATTGTATTTTAGTGTAGTTATAATAAATCATTCAGGCTTCTGAATTGAGTCAGACATCGTCATTTATTTCCATTGGGTTTGCCTGCATTTACAATCGACCCCTTACTCTTTCAGCCCCTAAGAAATGTAAAGAAAAATGAGTTGGGGGGGAGCAAATTTGGGGTAAATGACTTCATCACCTGTAATTGGAAGATTAACCCCCAATCTGCAAATGGACGAACTTATAAAAGTATGAAAGCCCTGTGACCTGTCACCCATTTTTGGGTGTAGCCCCTGGTGGCAGGCCAGGGGGAGGTAGCCACCAGATGAATTTCATCTGCCTGAAATGTATCTGAAGGCTCTTCAATAAACATAACTGCTTTTTATTCCTTTTAATTTTGTCTGGCCTCTGTTTTTAGGTAGTCCCAAAAAGCATCAGTGGCACCCTAACCTGCCCCCAGCACTCGAGGTGAGGCTGCCCCAGCTCAGAGCAGAGTAGGACAATCCCCTCTCTTGCCCAGCTGGTGATGCTTTGCCTAATTAATTGGCACAGAATCTGGCACTTTGAACTTCATGTGGCTAATGATTGCCTAGGCCTCTGAATTTCCTGGGTTTTCTGGTCTGATCTAGTGTCCAGCTGTCACCTCACTTGCTTTATGCACACCTCTGACATCTTGATGTTCTTTACTCTCAGTGCTGGTGTTACAGAAAACAGTTTTAATTAAAAAAAAGCCAGTGAAACAATTCTTGCATTCAAAAAAGTATTTTTAACTTTCCCCACTTTTCAGCCCATGTTTTTGTTAGTAAAGAAAAATCTTCCTTTGAAAGAACTGTTACAAGGCAATGTTCTGAACAATATACTGGTTCATCAGCTCTTAAAAAGTTGATTTGTAAAATGTAAGACAGGGGTCTCTGAAGCAGTGTTTTTTCCACCCTGAGAATGCTAAACATGGCTTTGTTGGAGGGAGCAATGTATGAAGACATGGATATAGCAGCTGGGACCTGGCACGCTCCCTTAACTACAGCAGCCACCTCCCATGCACCCGCTTGGACACAAACAGAATGGCCAGAATTTGTTTTAGTGCTTTCTGTAAGATCTTAATGTACTTTAAAGAAGCAATAATCATTAGGCAAACTGTGCTAAGGCACTTCAGTACTCAATTGCTCATTGCAGATCCATGATTAACATGCAGAAAATCCCCCCAGGTGCTCTGCAATTTACAGTCAATACCTATAAATTGCAGAAGAGGGTGCTCTGTACCATTGTATACAAAATAGAAGTTTGACTTCTCAGCCCTCTGCCCTACTGCTATTCACTCTACCTTACTGGTTCTAAAGCAATTTATTGTTGGCCAAAAATGAATACTGCAAAACGAATACTGTACTTGGAGAATGAGATTTATCATTTCATAGTTTAAAAAGAGTAAGAGCTTGAGCCATAAGAATTAATGCTTTATGCTCATTTATTTAGCTTTCAACAGTCTGACAAAACGTATTACAAAGAATGACAGCACATGTAAATCGATTCTGATGGCACAATTGGACAAGAAGGCCTAATCACCTTTAGCACCTTAAACAAATATTAAAATACCCAAGCCAAAGCTTGTGTGGATAACTGACAGTTTTAAGGCAGTGTTTAATGAACAAAAAAGGAAAAGGCTGAAATGAGCCATAACAAGTTATTATGTAAAAAGTCTAATGGCAGAACTCATTAGGATACACTACCTAATCAGCCCCACTGTTGCATTTAAGTGCAATTCCAGCAACACTGATGTTGCTCAGAATTAATACAAAGCATGCCAGTGAGAAGTCTGATTAAAACATAAATGTGGGAGCTTTCCTTCTTAAAACTGTATGGAATAGCTAAGACATTATAATTATAAGAGGCATCAAAGTATGTTATAAAAATGATACCATCCCTGGCTGGAATGTTGGACAAGAGCACTTAACTTTCTAAGTTCAGTAAGTGATCTAGCTATGCAAAAAATTATGAAGAGCTTAGGGATTAAAACAGAAGGTTGCTGAAGCATAGTTTGTGTCATGATATGGCTCAAGTTCTTTGTCCTGGAGATGTAGGAACATCACCATAAACTTGTATTTAACAATTGGTATCAGAGTGCTGATTTATACTGCTAGTGGATCAGCACTTTGCATCCATTTTTTGTCAACTGAAAAACAGCTCAGCTCATGAGGGTATGGGGGTCCATGTCACTTGCTGACAGCACTTCCAGCTTGTCTCTTCTGCCATCCATTACATCCTTTAAAAGAAGATTACTTCAGTGGTGAGCATTGCAGAGGAATCAGAAGCACATTTTGCTGGGACTCCAAGAATCTGACACTGTCGCGCACTAAAATTAAATACATGTTTAATTAAGACGGTATTCCAATGAAAAGTAATACTTTTCTCAGCAGGAATGCAGATAACACAAGTGAGTTCTCCAGATTCATCATGTCTTACCAGCTGCTACAACTCTGGCATCTTCATGGGCACTGTGTCTTCCTGCTGCCCGGTGATCTGGGCTCTCATTCCACCACAACACATGGACTGAGAAAGTATAAATAAAGTCAGCTGAGTACTTCTATGCTGCAATACAACACATACTCTAAGTCCTAGCAATCTGCCTTCATCTGTTACATGCCTTGCAGTTATCAGAAACAATTCTCCAGGCATGCCAGTGGTGGGATGATCTTTTACTGAGCCATTGCATGGTTTAATATCAGATCTGAGAGTCTTTTAAGACTGGGGCAATTGGTTTAAGTCTATAACCCAATACACAAAGCTGGGTTCAAGTGCTGTTTATGGGACTTCAGTGATCCACACCAACATTTTCGGCAATCCTGGCCAGTCCTGATCCAGGACGGTGGCTTGCCTCTCTGCCTCTGCCCCTTCCTATGCCGAAGTCTGCATCAGAAATTGATGAGTACCTGTGTTAAGTAATCCATATTCTGTGTGGAAAACACCAATCAGCTTGGTATATCCTGTGTTGATGTGAGCATTGATTGCAGCTCGAAATGCTTCACCCCACAATGCTGGCCCACCAGGCTTCATCTGGAAAGTAACCCATTCATATACACCTAGAAGAAAAGGCAAACACTGCTACAAGGAAGGAAATACATATTAATGCTCCAGATCTTGATCCATGTCTCATGGCCACAGTGTATTTGTTGTGAGACCAATATGATGTTTCCCTGTCATTTGGGGACAGCAGGAAACTGCCCCTCCCAACAAGCATGAGAACTCACACCTTTCCAAGGCTCACAAGAGCACAAGCTCACTAAGAATAGTTAGTTCAAGTGTAAGTCTAAGTACCAGGGCCCTGAAGAACAGAAGGCTTCTCACAAAGCCCAACTTTGCAATTTTCAATGCTGCATGGAGACTTTGGGACATTCAGACTACTTTGCAGACACCGTAAGTGGTCATACTTGTTTGAGGGATTTGGGTGTCTCCTTGAGCAATGCCGGATGTCTTTTCTAAGACAGAAGATGTTTTCTGGTATTGAAGTGGTTTATGACATTACAAACTCCTTTGACTCCTGGCAGTTGGGCACAGTAAGATCTGGCAGCATAACCAAGAAAGCAGGACAAGTTTAGCACCTCTGCTGTGCCAAGTGACCTCCCTTATTTGTTAATAAATGGCATAATTCACCAAAAAAACTCCAGTCCTGCTAAAAGTCACTTTTCTTCTTTCTGTTCAGGTAGTTACTTCAGATCACAATTGTTGACACAGTAATGGAAAGCCAGACACTTGCTACTTGGCAGTGTCTGGTGTCACTCTCCAGCAACGGTCTGGAGATAAAATACAATAGTGTTTGAAGTTGTCTCTCCAGATTTTAGAGAAAACTGGACTGCTTTCAAATTCAACACCAGCAGCAAAAAATTCCGAATCCTGAATAAAGGAAATAAAGAACAAAGTTTACTGTAGTTATATATTTGCTGAGGGCTGAAGCAAAGTCTGTTCCCTCTCACTTCATGCAAGAAAGCCTGCTTATGTTCATAAATTGGGGAACAGTCAATATTACTAAGATCAAATTTGCTACAGAGAGAATGAAAATACAAAGAGACATGGCTTCTACACCTAACTTATGATTGTTACAAAAAGTGACGGAAGAACTGCACAATCTACAGCTCAGTCTCACCTCTGTAGCTGGCAAGATCAAGGAGCAGATCCTTATGTTTGACTTTCATATATCTTTAAAAAAGTAGGGAATCTTTTAAACTTTGTGTGAAAGAAGCAGTAACATCAAAGTAAATTGATAAGAGGAAAATCTCTGTGAAAGAGAACAATGATCATCCAGGAAATGCCCTCTCACTGATGGATAGACAAAGGAAGTCCGGGATGACTGCTCTCACCGCTACTATGGCATTGCTGTTTTGTATATTCATTTAGCAAATCACAATCCTGATCATTAACAACTTGATGACCAGTGCTTTAGACAGTTATTGATGTATGTTAATGTAAAATCCTTTTGAAAAACCCTGTGCCTCACCGTGTCACCTTTTCCACATGGGTGCACGTATGTACGTTTGTTACGTGAAGCGTCATAAAACTGTGCAGTACCTGGTTTAAACTTTAAGCCATTTTTTGTTACTGGCAGTAACTTTAATCAAAAAAAAAAAGATAAGCTCACCCCCTTCCTTTGAAGGCTTCCCGAGCTGACACCAGGGCACCAGATAAGCGACCTCATTGTGCTGCTTCTCTACCAAGGGGAGAGCTGCAGAGATGAATTTTCCCTGCCAGTCTTTGTCATTTGCTAGTGCATGCCGGACTGCTGTTCTGTGGGCAAAATTATCTGTGAGGAAGGAAAAAAAAACATAGAAAAATACACATGATGTCACGTCAGACTCAATCAAAATGTGTAATTGCAAACTACACTTATCTGATTTTGAAACTGGTATTTTTAGACATCATATTAGCTCAAAGCAGATGTGGTAAATTTCCTCTAAATTCTGCAAAACTTTCTTTAAAATCTGCCTTAGCTCTCAGATTAAAATGGATTCAAGTCAAATGAAATTTTCCAAGAAAGTTTACAAAAGTGTTAAAATAAGTTAAGCAATTTTACTGTTTAAAAAGGTTTACGCATAGCAATTTCAGGGACTACTGCATGTGGCAACAGTTACTAAGGATAAGATTTGGAGAAAGCACAGTGGATATGGAAATGAAGTGGAAAAAAAATCAGAAGTAACAACCTACGAAGAAAAAAATTAATAAATGTGCTTTGGCTTATATAAGGTGACATGAAAAGTGTAGAATTAATGTTTGTGTGTTCAGTTACAAAAAAAAATGTTAAATGCCCAAAAGTTAAACCATTTCTTCTTTTTTTTTTTTTTTTTCTTAATGGAAAACAAATCAACTTAATTAAGAGTGTGAATTTCAACTGCTTAGGCTGCAGTGCATCTTAAGCAATATATTTATGCAGGCAGCCCCCAATATTACAAAAGAAAAAGCCAGCATCTGAGAATGGAAAGAACCTTGAGAATATCAGTATCTTGGGATGAAGAGGTAAATATAGAAATTATGTAAGCAGGGATCTGATGAATCAAGGAGGAAGGATGTTGTAAAGTTTGTTCATTTCTCAGATTATAGTGTGGTCTCAGGGTGGGGAGAGGAACCACCACAATTAGACATGTAAAACACTGTTAGGAAACAAAAGGTTTTCTCTTAGTTTTGCATTTTAAAGGTTTCCCATAGATTTTTAATTTTTTTTTTTTTTTTTAATTTAGAGATAGTAACAATAGCCAAGACTAAAATGTTCTGAGAAGCAGGACAATTTATAAATGCAAGAGAACTCAAAATATTGACAAATGAATGGTCCTCTCTCGAAGGAAAAGAAAGACATGGCTGCCAAGGTCATGAAAAATGTTGAGGTACTCAATGCTCTTTTTTGCCTTGGTCTGCACTGGCAAGTGCTCCAGCCTGACCACACAAGTCACAGAAAGCAAAGGAAGGGACTGTGAGAGTGAAGAACCTGATGTAGGAAAAATCCCGGTGTGAGACCACCCAAGGGATGTGAAAGTGCACAAATCAGTGGGACTCAATGAGATCCATTCATGGGTCCTGAGGAAACTGTCAGGAGAAGTGACTAAGCCACATTGTATTTGAGAAGTTATGGCAGCTCGTTTTTAAAAAGGAACAGAAGAAGAACTGCAGAAGTTGGTCAGAGCTTGGTCAGTCTCACCTCTGCCTGGCCAGATCAAGGTGCAGATCCTTATGGAAACTATGCCAAGGCTCATGGAAGGCCATGAGGTGTTTAATGACAGCCAGCATGGCTCCACTAAGGGCAAATTGTGCCTAACTAATTTTCACCTCCTGAGACTGAGTTACAGCTTTGGTGGATGAGGGAAGAATGACTGATATCAGAGGAGGTGACCAAGATGATCCAAGTGCTCAAGCACCTCTCTTGTGAAGACAGGCAGGAAGAGTTTGGGCTATTCAGCCTGAAGAAGAGAAGTCTCCAGGGAGACCTTACAAGAGCACTCCTCTACCTAAAGTGAGCCTGTAAGACAGCTAGAGAGGCACTTTTTATAAGGGCATGTAGTGATAGGACAAGAGGGAATGGCATTAAACTGGCAAAAGGGAAATTTAAAAACACAGGATGGTTTGGATTGGAAGGGACCTCTAAACATCACCTAGTTTCAACCCCCCACCCATGTGCAGGGACACCTGCCACACAGAGCTCCACCCAGCCTGGCTTTAAATACTGTCTGGAATGGAGCAAGATTTAGATTAGATATAATAAAGAGATTCTTAACTGTGAGAATGCTGAGGCACTGGAGCAGATTGCTTAGAGAAGCTGTGGATGCCCAATCCCTAGAGGTGTTAAGAGGCCAGGCTGGATGTGGCCCTGAGCGACGTGGTTGAGAGGAATCAAACAATTCTCTGATTCCACAATTCATCCCTCCAAAACAAAAGGGCTGATCCTTTAATCTAAACAGGTACTGTGACCACACTGGACTTCCCTGAGCACACTGTCTCAACATGTAGATGCACCTGGACTGCAGCAGGTGTTCAAGGGGAATTACACCAGTGTGCCTTCCTACTTCTCTACAACACATGTATCACTTCCCTTGGGCTCTACAAAAAGCACAGCCAGCACACCTAGTTTTTAGCATAATAGTAGCTTTTTTTGGCTTACCTGAACCTTCCTTGTCAGCACCAACTCCAACAAGATACAGAGTTGATCATACTGCAAAAACCATATTGCTAGCAAGGTTAAAGCTGCAACAAAAACACTCTACATGCCTGAGAAGTCAGACCTGGTGGAGTGACTTCCTACCTCCTACAAGGAGTTTAAGCATGCAAAGTGCATGCTCATTTTTTTATGGGAGGGATTTGTACTCTGAGCTAAAATACAAGAACAATCATACATACATATAAACACTGCTTATGTGTGCATATTTCCTTTTTTTCCATTAATTTTAAAAGTTTCAAGACATTTGTGGAAGTGACCCTAAGTTAAAAATATTTACCATGAATTAAACACTCTGCCACAGTTCCTCTATTATACCTGTTCTGAACAGAGACTGCTGTTCAAGAACATTTGTAACTTTCTCATCACAACGCATCAACATTGTCCTGACAAGCTCTGAAGCCTTCTTGTCACTAAGCAGTAGAGGAGCAAGGTTTTGGGGGCACCTCCTTACAATGAGAGCAACAAATAGAAGCCAGGCAAGCACTCCCCTCACCTTCTTGCCAAGGAGGCAGGGGACACAGGGAGAGCAGAGCAGTGCGAAGGGGTGCTGACCGTACCGTACTTCCAAATGTGGAACACCTTGTTCATCGCTCCCAGCTCCGAGTACCAGAATCCCACCAGCTCCGAGTGAGCAGTGCGAAAGTGGAAGTACTTGTTGACCATTTCCAAAAACTCCTTCATCTTTGCTGGCTTAATATCATATGTGCGAATTTCATAGAAAATGCTGTTATTTTGTCTGGGCCCTGTAGAAAGGCGTACCTGAAAGAAAATCGTAAGAAAAAACTAGTAAAAATAATTCTCAAGCCAGAAAGTTGTATTCTATTTTTTTTTTTTTTAATTAGTGCAATACTACAGAAGGATCTGTTACTGCAGGTTGGGCAAGGGGTACTTCATGACGTCCACCACAAAAGCATTATTTGCTGCCACTCCTTTTGGCAATGCAACAGACTGTAATGTTTAATTATTAGCTCACAACAAAGCAAGTTTTTCCTTTTCTCAACCTCTTCCTCAGGAAGTCAGCAGCAAGATGAATTTGGCTAAACACATTATTCAAAAGCAAGGCTGCTGAGATTCCAAAGGGGAAGCAATACCAACATCTGCCTGTGTTGTGCTTATCCAACCAACTCATGCTACTGCTTTTCTACTGACAATCATATACCAATAGTAGCAAATTACAAATGACTGGCAAATGAAAGAAAAAGATACCAACACTTAGGAAACAGTGATTCATTCAAACACAAGATTGCTTAAGTCCACCTCCTAGCCCTTTATTGGCTGCTTCCCAAGGGCTGATCAAGAACAGGTTTTCTGTTCATATTAGATAAAGTCCTTTGGGAGTCCCAGACTAAGTGTACTTTTGCAGCTGCCTCAATAACCTGGAACATGCTACTCACCTCTCAAATAAAACATGAAAAATCAGGGCCAAAACACGGCTTTGGCCTTAGCCCATGTTTGCACAGAGGCAGCTACAGGATGGATTCTGGACATGTCCTATTTCACAAGAATCTGCAGGCATGAGCACCATGCAACTCAAGCCACAGAAAAGAACTGTTTATATTTATAAATTACTTTAAGATCTTCCCATCCACTATGAATCCAGATGTGCCATGTCCACCCCTAAACCATACTCTTTAGTGACAGATCTGTTTTCAAACACTTCCAGGGGTGGTGACTCCACCATTCATCCCTGTTTCAGAGCTTTACAACCCTTTCAGCAAATAAATTTCTCCTAATATCCAATCTAAACCTCTCCTAGTTTAGGCAATTTGAGGCCACGTCCTCTAATTCTGTCACTTGTTACCTAGAAGAGCCTGACCCCTCCTGCCTGGCTGCACTTCCAGGTCACTGAATACAGAAAGTGAAAATCAAAGGCTTTGTTGTTTTCCTTAGTGGCGTTTTGCAGCTGACACATCCAGTACTGGCTGCCATGAATCACAGCTCCTTGGAGCTGCCAGGAGCCTTTGCAGGATCCTTACTGAGTATGGAGCCTGCAGGAGTGACCCATTCCACACTGGATTTCTTTGGGAAATGAGATGGCCTGAAGCTTTCTGCTGCTTCGACAGACACTGGGACACTGCAGGACCCCTTGTGTTCCAGAGAAGGGCAGTGGTGAAGGGTCTGGAGCACAAGTCCTGTGAGGAGGAGCTGAAGGAGCTGGGGGTGTTTAGCCTGGAGAAAAAGAGGCTCAGGGGGGGACCTTATCACCCCCTACAGCTGCCTGAAAGGAGGGTATAACCAGGTGGGGGTCAGCATTTCTTTGCAGGCCGAAGACAGTGACAGGATAAGAGGACATAATCTCAATCTACAGCGGGAAAGGTTCAGATCGGACCTCAGGAAGAAATTCTTTACAGAGGGGGTGGTGGGACATCGGAATGGGCTGCCCAGGGACGCGGTGGAGTCGCGGTGCCACGGTCAGGCTCACAGCGCCGGGCTCGCTGACCTCAGCAGGCTGTTCCAGCCGAACCCATCCCGGACTCGGGGACGGATCCCAAAGGGTCCCGCAGCACCCCGGCAGGGCCCGGCGGACGGAGTCGCGACAAGCCCCGCACGGAGGCAGCGGCCCCGCCCGCCCCCCGCGCTACCTGCGGGCCGGGGCGCGGCGGGGCCAGGCGGGCGGCGGCGGCGAGCGGGCGGCGGAGCAGCGCCGGCGGCAGCATCCGGACACCGGCACGGACACCGACACCGACACGGGCACGGACACGGGCACCGGCACGGACACGGGCACCGACACGGACACGGGCACGGACACGGGCACCGACACGGACACGGACACCGACACGGGCACCGACACGGGCACCGACACGGACACCGACACGGACACGGACACCCCGGGGGCGGCGGCGCCGCTGTGCCCGCCCTGCAGCCCGCCCCGCCGCCTGCGCACCGCGCCGCCGGAGGATGGAGCGGGATGCGGAAGGCACCGCCGCTGTGGTTTAAGCTCTGCTGGAAGTCAAGCAGGTCGCCGCTCAGCTTCCCCCCGCTCCTCCCTTTCCCACATCGGTGGAATGCGGAGGAGAATCGAATTAAAAGTTGTGTTTGGACGTAAGAAGAGATTAATAATTGAAGCAACAACAAGCGCAACAGTGCGGTTGCTCACCACACACTGACCAGGGAGCCCTCGCCGAAACCAGGTCATCCGCCCTGAAAACAGATCACTCGCCCTCCCAGGCTACTCCCCGCAGTTCAGACACCCGGCACGGTGTTTGTGTGCGGGACATCCCCTTGGTCAGTTCGGGTCTCCGGTCCCGGCCGCGCTCGCTCCCATGTTCATTTGCGTGCCGCCTTCTTGGCGGAGCATGAGAGAAAGGGGGAAAAAAAGTCCTTGACGTAGGATAAACACGACTTGGCAAAAAGCCAAGCCATCAGTGTGTTATCAACAGCAATCTTATTCCAAATCCAAAACACAGCCCTGTAATAGCTACTGAGAAAAAAAATTAACCATTCCTTAGCTGTAAGTAGAGGCAACAGCTGAGTGTTGCTCGTTTATCAATTATCCGGCATGGGTGGCTGAAATGTGGTATCTGTGCCTATGCCCAGGTACCTGAATACAATAAAAAGTATCCTAGCTGCTTGAGGAGACCTGTTCCTCACAGGCTGCCCTGGGGCAAATCACTCAGTAAAATCACCCACACCCCAGGATCAAACTTCAAATTGATCACGCTGATCCTCTGCAGAATCAAACTTAAATTTGTGCAGATACAAATCCTTCATCAGCAGTTCTCCTCCATAAGAAAGTAGCACGGCACTCTTTTGTGGCATTCTTTTGGGTGAAACCAGAGGTGCCAGCGGTGCACAGCAACAGGAATTCCCACCTGGCTACAGCTCTGGGCTCAGTTGCATATTTCTTCCAACCACACAGTTACCAAGGATGAGATTTGTTGCTGAGACTGTATTTTCTCAGGGTAAAGATAAAATTTCTCCAGCTACCAATGCAATCTAGAGTTCTGCCTTGGGAGACAAATCAGCTCCTAGGAAAGGACACTTTATGGAAGACTACCTAAACTTACAAGTCATCTTTTAGGATTCCTCTTAATGGAGGCAGCACTTTCCTTCTTCTACACCAAATAATTTATTTTAAGAGACTCTGCATGGAATTAAATGTGATAAGAGCAATTATGAATTCAGGCCTATGGAGCTTTTATGCTTCTTCTCACAATAAAAAAATTTTCATTTTGTTAATGACAAATTCAGGAAGAAAGATTGTCTAAATTAAAATAAGATTGAAAAAGTTGTTCTAACATATTAAAAGAGTATTGTGGAAAAAATGAAGTATCTACATTGTGTATATGTTATATATTATTTTGCAAGTGGTTACATTTGTTGTAGATTTTTTGCAATATGGCATGAAATAAGTCTCGGAATTTCTACAGCAGAATCACATAATCACGGAATGATATGAAGTGTGATTACTGACACAGTTGTTGCCAGTTTAAAATTGGTTTAACATCAAAGGGCTTTTTTTCACTTATGAAAAATTGTGTTTCAGCTGAAGAAGAGGATGAGATGTCAAATTCCAAAATATTTAAGCTTCTCCATTGATTATTTCATTGTATGGTTGAAGTAATGCTCTTCTTAATTATATTGTAGTGGAATATTCCTTCACATGTCTAAGAGATTTTATTTTTATTGTTTGAACATTTTCTGTGTTTGCTTTCTCATCAGTAAAGTTCACACAAGTCAGGATTTGAAGTGAGTAGTGTTAAAAAGCAGGTTTGGTCTTGCTAACCTGAACAGCCAAGAAGAAGCTTTGGTTTTATATTTATTTTTGTATAGTCGGGGAGTAGAAGGGTGGTCATGATTTTCATAATTGATCATAACAGTTCTAAACAGTGCAGAGTTAAAATGTACAAAACTGTGCTGGAATTCAATGAAGGCCTGAAATTGTTCCCTGAAACAAGTCAATGAATGATTTTATACAGCAAGTAAGTTTGAGAAAACTGTAGTCAAGGAAGTGACTAAGAGAAAATTTATTGAGAAGACTGTTCTTTCAGCTCTGAGATTTTGCCTGGAATTTGGGTTTGCTATACTTCCTGGTATGTTCTCGTTCATATTCTTCTAGAAGTCCATGGGTATCTCTGTGTTTCTATGTGGATGAGGCAGAGACAGTGGTGAAGAGAGAGGATTGTAGCTCCAACTCCTGCCAGCCACTCAAAAGGCTGTCTACCAATACACAGAATGGTGAATGGGAGCTGTGCTTCACAGACAGCTCACAGATGGTACTGAACATCTGGGAATGACACTGTTAATCTTGTGGGAGAACTCATACTGAATAGTATCCTGTTTGTGATGGGATGTCTTTAGTTTGGTAGTGAATTCAAGAATTATGTGCTATGTTCAATTTAGCTGTGACTGACAGAGCTACCCAAGTACAAGAGGTTTATTAAAAAAATTCTTTCTATTGGAAGCCAAAGCTCCATGGACACAAAATGTAAGAAGGTGATTTGTGCATGTTGTAATCCCTGCATGAAACATTTTCATCCATTCTCATTTTCCCAGGGAACAGGAAACACTTTTAATCTCATCTGTATGTGTCTTGTGAATGTGGGCAAGGTGTGGATAGGGGTTATACTCCATGTGAGATGGTGGTAATGGAAAAAAAGCACCAAAATCTTTAATGCTTTCAAAAGCAGCTTAAAATTCCTTTGTGATGCAAACTCATAGTTTTGGAAAAGGAGAAATCACAATACCTGTTGCTTAGCTAGGGGGATGTTCCTATTTGCTTCCAGCAAATCACAGCTTCCAGTTTGCTATTGAATGAATGATAAAACAAGGACATTTCCTTCTACTTCTCCATAAATCTTTCAGCTTGAATTCCTTTCTCAGAAAGGCAGTTTTCAAAACTACAGGAGGGTGTAACACACTGTGCATTTTCTTTCAGTAGCAGGAGGATTTCCATTACATAGTGCTATGCTGTTCATAGGTTTGAGAAAGGTGTCCAGCAAGCTTGTTTAGTTTGTTAGACACAGGCTCTTTGCTGTTAGGTTTTCACAAATCTCATACAGTGTGCTTCCCTTCCTCTCTCTCAATCTGCTGCTGTGTGAGCAAGCAACAAGTGGTTTCCTGCTATGCACACAAGGCAACATTCCTGAATGTAATGCAGCCTCTTGGTATGTTCCCAGTATGCCAGAACATGTAAATATCCTCTGGTTTCCATCCGCTCAGCTGTTCCATATGAAAATGTGGATAACAACTTAGCAAACTTGGTATTTTCTTCCCTGTTTCTCTTAGCCAGTATGCATTCCTCATCTCATTAAAACAATCTGTATTATGTATAAATATTTATTGTGTAGAACTGATTAGAATGCCAGAAAGAACCAATGTCATCTTTGTGTTTAGCAGGGGTAAGAGTCACGTCAGTGTTCTTTGTTCCTAGGGCCTGGGGACATGGTTGAACCAGAGTCATATGCAGGTGCCCTACCAGGCAGTGAATGAGCACAGAAAAAACTGGTTCTGTGTTTTTGCTTTGCTGGAGAAGGCAGCAGAACAACAATGCAGCACTTTGTCTCTCTGTGTTCTTCCCTCTGGATTTATCCACTCCACATGCCTTGTGCTGAGGTTTAACACATTCCCTGACCACGCCAACATGGAGCATCAGCTTGGCCTGGCTGAGAGATTGTCTTCCAGAGCTGCACAGTTGAAAGAAAAAGGGCAAAGCAGGTGCTTATGGCTATGTGGAAGGGAATTAGCAAGCTGCTTCATACTGCTTGGGGATTTTTAAAGCACTTAAGTCTGATGCGTGTCATCATGACATTTTGTGTCAATGCTTACATCAAATCTTGAAGGAGATAAATTCTACTGTATCAAAATGCTCTCTGCTCCTCTTTCAAGTGGCCATAGCACAAACCTGGTAGCAGACCACTATGTCCATTTGAATTAAGCTCAAAATAAAGAATTCATATATGTTCCCTGTTCTTTTTTAAGGAGGTCTGTTTCTTACACACTTCATTACTGGATTTTTCCTTTCTTTTTATTTCCTGGGAAATTTGTAAAAGTTTAATGATTCCAGAAGAAGGTCATGATTCCCGTTAAAGGCAACACACACACTGAAATCCTCCATTTGTTTTTGTACAAATAGTTTTATTCAAAACTTCTGAATTATATATATTAAAAATCTCTTCCCTGTCAACAGGTCCAAAATATTGCAATATTTTAAAATGGTATTAATTGTTTATGCTTATTATTTGACCACTCTAATTGCATTTTTTTCCTCTCAGAATATCTACTTGGCCTTTGAAAATGATATTTTTAAAAGCTGAGAGTGAAATAGTCCTTTTAGTAAATCCATTTTTAGTTAATTGGGAAAAAAATGAATGCTCTGCTTGCATGTCTTCACAGATGGGATGACATAAGGGAGCTTCTCACACTGTAGATATTTAAAGCACAATGCAGCTGAGAACTGGGAGGCCTTTGCTACAAAGAGCATTGAGAGGATTCAACATGAGACAGAGGCTTACATGAGGAAGATCTAGCTGGTTGACTTTTTACTTCACAGGTACTAGCTAGCTCAATTAGCATTTCCCTAATAAAATTAAGACCTTAAACAATGCTGATAAATCACTTAGATAATTTCTCCTCAGTTAAAACTCTTGACAGGCTTCTCTTACTTGCTTCTCCTCTATGTGTATGACAAGCTTTCTTCTGGAAGCAGAGTGAGATTTTCTCTAGGATTTAGCCAAAGTTGCACTTGTATCCTTCTTGTCTCAAATGCAGCACCAACATACCACTGAGACAAGGTATTTCTATTTCTTTATTCTAGTTTGTGCAAAGTATGAGCTAGGTGGTGACCCCCAAAAGGCTGGCTCCCCAGTCATCAAAATTTTACACCAGTTGTACAGTTTAGCAAGTAAAGAAATCACAGTTCATTGGCTACAATTTACACAGTTCTCTTATTAATTAGTATTATACCTTCTGCTGCTTAAATTATTATCTCTCTTGTCACAATAATTAGCTCACATGTGCAGATTTCTATTCAGTCAGTAAGTTTCTTTATTTCATGGGCTGTGAGTCAGTGGTCCCTGTCTCCCTCTGCCAGGATTACTTTTTACCCAGTTGGAGCTGGTCTCAGCACAGTTGCTGTGTTTGCTTTATTAATTTCTTCCTTATCATAGGAGTTGTGCCAAAAGTCCTTGTGGCATGTAAATTGTGCTTTGTTTTTGTCCACTATCAGCAGTACATCCTTCTCCCCAAGCTTTGTTAACCTCCCATTAGCTCTGAAATTACTGAAGCGTGTTAAGCTTTAAACCTTAATAAGGCAGTTCTACCAACAAGTAATTTGTCTTTCTACTCCTGGACATGATTCTGAAACCATGTTTTCTTGAAAAGAAGTAAG